ACTGTTTTCTGAAGAATTTCAGTATGCTACAGTTACTGCCTTGGTAAATTCGCTACAGAGGTAAAAAAATCACATATATTACTTTGACTTCTATTTCCCTTGTAGATATGATATGAAGATAAAAGTATCAAATTACCACTACTGATCTGCTGTGTTTATCTGCAGAGAACTGAAACTTAGTTTTTGCCAAATATTTTCTGCTGCTGGAAGACATAGTTCTATGGTCACATTTTATCCAGTAATTGGTACGTCAGGTATCATGTCTAAGGTACTTGAAAACTAAGCTCCCAAGAAATCCCTGTTTTCCTCAAGCACTACTTCTAAATTTTACCCTGTTTTAAAAAGCTGCACTTGAGGTAAGTAGGTCAATCTTAAACTAATCTAGTTAAAAGTAGTGCACTCTCAATTTAAACTGGTATAACGCTCCCTTAAATAGGTTTAGATGCACTCAGTAATTTCCCAGAAAAAATATCTGCTTTAAAGAGGTTTAAACCAACTTAAGTGCATGTAGTCAGACAAATGTGAAATCAATTTTGATAAACCAATGCACTAAGGCTAATAAGAATGCCCCTTTCAGTTTTGATACAGAAAGATAGGGCTAAAGAAAGGATTTTTCTGCAAGCTACTAGAAAATTTATAGAGACAGTAGCTATCCCAGCCCCTTCCTGGCAGTGACTTTGAATTTCATCACAGTGATTTGAAATACTGTCATTGAAGAAAATATTTGAAAAATACTTCTGTTGAGGTTTTTGATAATACAATATCACCAAAGTACTGCCACTCTTAGGAAGAAGTAATTGTCCTTTTCTGGATTTTGTGACATCATTCATTGTCCATAAAATTTGAATTAAAAAATTATATATGAAAAATATATATCACCTAAATGGATTGGAGTCATGGGAACAAGGAAATCTTTCTCTAGCCTCAAGACTGGTATATTAAGATTTCTTCCTTTTTCTTCTTTTTCTTTACAGTTGTTAAGTTCAGAAGAAAACAAGAATTTAAAGTTTTTCTTAATGTATCAATTTTTCAGATAGTTATTTATGTAACTTTATTTTCATCTCCTGTTTATTCCTTTCCATTTTTAAATTTTTAAGTATACATTTTATGAAACATTTTCCTGTAACAACCCTAGCCATTCTGATTGGTTATTCCTGAACATTGTTTCTTCTTCTACTATAGTTGCCAAGTGTTACCAGAATAACCTGAGTTTTAACTGAGACTGCCTAGGAGCACATACTCCATATGAAGTAACCATCCTGTTCCAAATTATTTACAAACCTAAGGTTGTCATCTCACACTGAAGTCTAGATAGGCAGATCACAAAGGAAGTGGAGTCTACTGTACTTTACTGAAAAGGCCTACTCCAACAGAACAATTTGAAAAGTAGTTGTCATAAAAGAACAAGAGGAACACGACAGCCGACTGAAGGAAACCTACAGACCAACACATACACATTGTACAAAGTATTTGAAGAATACAATTTCCCAACCATGCAAAAAAACCCCAAGAACGTTTTATCCTCCAGTATCTCCCTCATTCCCTACCAAAATAAATTCTGTCCTGGTTTCCGCTGCTTTCCTGTGATGATAAGCCTCTTGTCCTTCCTTCTAGACAATACTTGTAGCATCACCTGCAGCACTATGGGTGGAAATTCAGAGAAAAGACCTCCACAGCTCAGCTGGAGTTGAGGTACTGGCTGTACTTGCTTACAGGGTATTATGAAAGCAAAGAAATATATCGCTGTAGAAAGTCTGCAAGTATAAAATTGTATGACAGGAGGTTTTTTCTTGAGCAACAGCCCCATTAGTCTTTACTCCTACAAAAGCCTTATTCATTCTTCAGAACAAGGGAGGAGCACAGATCTCTTCCTAAGACATGTTTGATAAGACAACATGCCACTGAAGTGAGAAAAAAGGAAAGCAGCAACACACTGTGCTGATAATGTATTTCTGTTGCAACTGTCCTTTCAGTCTAGAATATTATTAAACACAAGGAAAACACAAGAAAATCAACCACACATGATAAGAAATAAAACATCAAATCAACAAAACCCTGAAGTATTCTGCAAGTCAGGATAAATTACTGTAGAAATTAAATATACTCAGAATATTGACTTTATATATGATTCCTTATTTAGAATGAAAATTATTTTTAAAAGGACAACAGTTTATGAAAGCACCTCAAGAAGTTGTCTGAGGTAGACAGCACGTAAATCATTTTCATTAGTCTAGTACAAGGTGGAGAATGAGGCTAAAACTTTCCAAGAGGGTCTTATTTTTGCATTCTTTCTGCTAAATAACCAAGTTACTCTGTGCTTTAAAACCTCTAGAACACTAGAAGAGGAATCAGAGAAAATCAGCCTTTTGGGGTGAGAGTTAATTTAAAAATAATAAAAAAAAATCACCAAATCTTTTTCCCATTCTACTGGATTTCAAATAAAACTACATGAAGGTGACTATTGGACTACTGGAGCAATGAATCTTAAAAGAAAATGACACTCACCTGGGAAAAATGACTCATAGCTAAGATCATAAATATATTTTTCAAACTTCTGCTTTTCAGTGCTCTGAGACTCAGCTCAAAATGATATGAAGCCTAAGAGAACTGTAAGTCTTTCTTTCCTGTCAATCCCAAATGGTATGCTTGTCTTCTTTTTCCACCTGGAAATTTTGTCCAGGCACAAAAAAAAATAAATTCTGGATGATCCTTCAGGATTCCTAAACAACACAGTAAGATAAACCTGGCCTACCTGATAACTGGAAGTCACAAATCAGTTAAACAGGCATATACAGATCAAATGTACATATATTTCTATTTCTAGAGTTACAATGACAAGAGACTTTTCTTTGGACAATAACTATGACCTACAATTCACAGTTCATACCATTTCAACAATGAAACTAAGAGTTGCCAAAATTCTTTAGAGAACTTGCATTGCTAAAATGTTTATTTTAACTATTGTGTATTTTGCACAAATCTTCCAGCTTTGTTCTGTAAATATTCCATTCTAACAGGAATATGTGCCCCTGAAAAAAGTATATTAGTACACCAAAGTACATAACTTATTAAATTTGCAGAAAAAAATTCCAATGATACATATTAAACCTTCGTGCTAAATCTTCATAAAACCTTTTTATTATAAAAGTTCAATGTTCTAAGATACATAAAAGAACAGTCTTAGTATCATTTTACTTTCACTTGATTTTTTCATTCAAGACATCTTAAAATTCATTAATACAAGAAATATCTTTTGAAAACTGCTGTTCAAAACTCAACCTCAAAAGGCATATAGAGACATGAGTGCCCTTTTGCACTAGAAAAATTATTTAACTTAAAGGAGAATGAGATAGCCAGAAGTTCACTCACTTTCATACCAAGTATCCATATATGGAACTGCTCCAAAAGAGTTATCACAATTCAAATTGATATCCTGACTTCAGTGTACACATACTTGTAGATTTTCCTGAGTACTTGAAGTAATAACTCCAAAACCACAAAATATTATGTGCAGTGTTGGTCTCCAACTGAGGCACATAAAGGCACCTTAATTTACCCTCACAATTGTGACTGACTATGTACCTGAACTGCACAAACAGAAGATTGCCACTGGTGCTCCTTTGAGCTAAAAGTGTGAAGAAAGCAAATATGACCTGTGCAATACCACAGATTTTGCTTCAGTAAGAATCTAGGGCTTGGTTCACAGGAAAAAAGCTTCTTGAACCCATTACACAACTAAGGGCTTTCACAGTGCCATACATTGCTCTTGCTTCAACTGACTCAGGCACAGCAGAAACATTGCACTATTGGAATAGTCACAATACCTACCGTATTTATACTCCTGAAATATTACATTAAAGCTTTGTTGCAAACTCCAGGCTACGAACCTTGCTACATAAAAAGCTCTGAATTTTACTTGGAAGATCTCAGGTGAGAGAGGGAAAGGAATAAGACAAATCCTCTTGTCATTCACAAACTCAGCGTAACACTGAAATACAACAGTTCCATAATTCTTGTCATCTCTATCATCTTTCGTACGACAGAAACATCCTATTTGTGCATCTCTGCATCTTCTTTGTGTGCCATTGTTTGCTGAAGAGACTCTCACAAACTCTATGTAACAGGCTTGGAGAGATCTAATAGGACCACTGAAGTTGTTTGGAACCAAAACCTGTCACAGCATCAAACACAGAATATGTATACAGAAAAACTCTTCTTTCATACTGTTCTGCAGAGATGCAAAGGCTAGTTTTAAATTGGGATTCCTAGATAAAGGCACTAATTTAGTCACATCAGCTTGGAGATCAGCAAGCGCCAGATTATATTTCTGTGAAGAGTAACTTTAAAGAGTATATTTAATCTTGATTTTTCAAATTTCAGGTATGTTAACTGCACTATGCAGCCAATTATTTGACCATGGGGAATGTACAATTTAAGTAAATTGGACTTGTTCGAATTAACAATTCCAAAAGACATTCAAAAGTTTTTGGGAAACACTAGTTCTACTCTTGGAATGGTATCTTTAACACTTGCCTTTAAATGCTGCCACTGCATCATCGTAAATAAAAACTGAAGACTAGGTGTTATGTACACTGATATGTACTGTATTGGTGGGTAGCCGCAGTTGTTCTTAACCTCGCATATCACTGTCAAAGAATATTCCACATTTTCCCTAAATCTAAATAAGATCGATATGGCAATAAATGTCAAAATGAAAGTAGTTTATGCAAACATTCAACAGGATAATATCTGAATGAACACAAATATTCCTAATAAGAATTCAGTGTTTTTCAAGAAAAACACGTTTTCATATTTCATTACATTTAGACAGATACTCTTCTGTCTCAGATCCAAAGACACCAATTAACTGAAGATATTTCTAAAGTAATGTGAACTTCTGAAAGAAAACTATGTGTCTTTAGGGACAGGGTAGCATGGCAATACTTCTGTTAGCTAAAAATTCACGCCACTTATTTGTTTAAACTTAAATCTTCTCTTACCATCATGATTGGGATTTCCCAAAGTCCATGGCTCATCTGAGTCAAAATGAGTGTCTCCTCCAATTCCTGGCCCAGGGAAATATGCATGAGCCAAAAATCCTCCCTCCCCATCAAAGGGAGAACTGTCTCCATGAAAACCTGATGCAAAAATTATAGTAATATCCACGTCTCTCTTGCCATTTTCTAATTCAATATAAGGAACTTCTTCAAATGTTAAGGGAGTTACATTCTGCCACACATCGAAGGCACGGCGAATGGCTTTACGAGTTTCAGCATCACCAACTTTTGGAGTGACGTTCTTTATGCTGAAAGAAACAGAGAAACAGTACACATTAAATTTAACAGAGTGGTGACACTGCTAACATACATTTTCCCCTAATTATTATAAGTTCTGTACTTTTAATAAAATGTGCTAATCTGGCATTATATGTTTTAAGAAGAGTATTTTTGAACGAGCTGGTGCAAAATTATGGTCTCAATCTGCATAGCCCTTTATGCTAGAACTTATTCTATGTTAGCTAGCTTACTCCCAGCAGTACAAAAAATTTATTTTTAGGAGATTAAAAATATTTTTAAATGAAAAATTCTTAACAGTGGTGTAACCAGATTAATCAACCACTGACTGTTTACCTCCTGGACCACAATTAGAATCCATCACATAAAGAATGGCATGTCCTTTCTGATCAAAAGAAAAATGTTTTCAGTTAAATGAAGTTTTCATTTCTTAGTAAGTTCATTAACAAAAGCAGAGCTCCATACTGTGACCACCAACCAGTATTCACAAAGCCTTCTTGCATTTGTCATTGGATAGATAATTTCTTATCAGAAACAAAGCCTTTTGACTTCAATACAGGCTAAGATGTCCTTTTATGATCTGATTACATCTCTAAATCTTTTTTAAAACTGTATAATACATCAGACAAATCATTTTATAGAAGAAATTATGTGGTAATACAAAAATGTGCATTTAAACAGAAATTTCAGTCTTCATTACTTCCTTACATGACATACATAAGAGAAAGGCAAAAACCCATCAGAACTGAAGTTAAGTTTACTAGCATAGTTATTTCTAAATTATAATGGAATCATCTTTTTTTTTTAAAAAAAATCTTTCTTATTTCCATTATGGAATTCAAGAAGAGAATGTCAATAATCAATTTCAGACCTATCCAATTTTCTCTATCATTTGCACTCAATTCATATGGCCAGAAAAAACTCTCTTAGGTTTGTGTCTGTTTGAAACTCATGCAATCAGATGCACCTTGTTCATTTGACATGTGCTTGACTGAATGTCCAGCACAAATTGCAGAAATTTAGAGTATATGTAAGATTTGTGTAAGTTTACACAGAATGGCATACTAAAGGAGAATATTTATACCCTCATGAATAAACCTTAAATGATTGATTTGTTTGGTGCATTCCATGTGCCTAATTATATGGAATTTATATTTATACAAATAGAAACAAATATTTCAAGTCTAATTTTATAGATTTTACTTCACTTATATCACATTTTGTTCATAGGTTCATGTAGAAAACATAAAGTTACATATTTTTACTTCCATTCAAAAATACTACTGTATTGAGTACAATAATGCTAGTCTAACCAAAGCATTATTTCTTTTTAGTTTGTACTTTTGTTCCAAAGAGATATCAACATGGATTATAAAATAGTACACTGTAGAGAATCCCCTGTTTTCCAAAGTATCTTTTGTTCCAAAGATGATTTAACCAACCATTACATACTCATGCCTATTCCTTTTTTTGTCTGGCTTGTAACTTTGGTTCTTATTCTGCCTTTCTCTTTCACATACATGACCTTCGAGAACATTTTCCCCTCCTATAAAAAGACATTTAAAAAACATTTCTGTACTGCAAAGTCACTACCTTTTTGTTGTCTCTAAGAAATTAAAAGTTTGAACTCTTCTAATCTCTTGTTATAAGACATTTTCTCCAGTCTATTAAATATTTTCTGTGATTTTTATTGAACTGACTCCAATTTTTCAATGTTCTTTTAAAACTGACTCTGTCAGAACTACAAAGTACAGATCTCACTGTCAGAGAGAAAAAGTCCTATAATCTGTAGGCATGACCTTACCCTACATGATGTAAATGCCATGTGATTTAAAGTGCTTTGTATGATGCCTTTTCATAATTATTTGCTCATCAGTAATTTTATCATCAGCGTTGCCTTGCTTTTGATATGATTAAAAAGATATTGGACATGCTGGACCAACTATCAGCCCTTGCAGAATTCCACTCTGAAAGCTCCCTCCTTTGTGAATTACTATTTTTGAGATGTTTTAATTAGCAAGTTCATAAACTTGCTAAGTTCAAAATGTGCCCCTTGAGAAAGTACAGCATTTTACAACCTGACTGTCATGTGACACTAAATCAAAACACACCACAATGGCACACTTATACTGCCACTACCAAAAGCATAACAGTTCACCTGTTGCTATACTAAGAATATCAACTAAAAGGCTGGCAAATGGGCTTTAGTCAACCCTGCCATGTGCTCTCTAAGGCACATGTATTGCCTTAAGCACAGTTCATTGAAGGATTAAAGCCTCTGTTATTTGCTATGTATAATGAATACAACAAATGAATCAACAGGGTCTCGTAGAAAACAGAGTATGTCTAGCAAAATTGAAATATTGGTGTAGGAAAAGTTCATTTGAAATAAATATACAGTTTGCTTTTTGTTTTAATTTTTTTTTATTTAGGAATCTTAGTAATTGGCCAAAGTCAATTGGTGCTAAGTAAACAGAACAAAGGATAGACTTATGCTGTTATATGTAAAATGAGGAAATGTATAAAAACATATTAGAGTTTTGTATTGATGGTAAGTTGATTAGTTAATTGGTCTAAAAGGGTTTGTCTCACACTTTAAAACTTATAGTTTTATATTTTCTTCCATTTTCAGTGCATAGAATTAGGTGTTACTCATTGATTACAAATGAAAAATTGAGCCTTTGTGCCAGTTTCACACACACAAACTAGAGCTGACTACCTGCAATAGAAGACATTTTCCATAGGTTTCATCTATTGAATTACTTTTGAAATAGCACCCTACATCTCAAGATTCATTGTAAAGCAATATTTTTCAAAGCATACTTTCTGTATTAAAACTAGAGAGATTTCCAACTTCCAAAACAACATTCTGAAGTGGGTAACACTACACTGAAAAATCTTGCTTCTAAGACAAATTAAATAAATCAGTAGTTATTCCAACATAAGGGTATTTCCAGAAAATAACTGTCCATTTTAATGATGGTGTTGACCATACAACCTCCAAAGGGGAAGTACAGTAAGATCAATCTATACAGACATTCTATCAATCATCAGAGATACTAGGTTTCATCTTTTAAAAGTCTTCAGTTTAGACCTATCACTGCAATAGCAATTAAAGTCTCATATGAGCCCTTTTCCTACTACATTTAGCTCTACATCTTAAAGTTAGCAGTCACCTGAAATAGCTGTAACTGTGTCATAATCTCTTAAATTTAGTGATCATTCCATGGAAAAGAGATTCAAACAAGAGAAAGATCCAAACTCGACCTTGACCAGACTGACAATGCAACTTTATAAAGAAGTTGAAGAACATAAAATTATTTTCAAAGGAAAAGTATTTTAATAAAAAAAAGATGATCCATAAGATGAAACATTTATGTAATTTTTTACAAACTAATAAATGGAGTATACTTTGTATAAATGTCAAGAGTTGTTTGTTCTTAAAGAATCACAGCCATTTATAAATTGATTATGCTTTTTTGTGGTTATTATTGCTATTTTTGCATGGCTTTCAATCTGATAATTGCTTTAGGCATTATAGCTTTTATATCTTGCACAATGTCTCTACCACTGATATTCTATTTCTAGTAATGCCTGAAGAGTCTTTTTTTGCAGTGTTATTCTGAAATTTTGAGTCCTATTGATTTAAGAAAAGCTTTGGGTTTTCCTTCCCTTCCCCCGGCTTCCTCAAGAAATCCTTTAAAAAAAAATTTCCATGTTTCAGTGACACATTTTTGGCTGCAACAGAAGCCTTGCAAGACTGTCAGGATATACCTCACTTGACTGTGTAAAATCAGTCATCTGAAATTTAAATACAGTACATTAAGTAGTACATATTTGCCATTAAACTTCACTATTTCCTTTTTTCCTTGCTGAGCTGTCATTAGAACAGCCTATTATATTTTTATGTAAATTGGTACAATTCTGTACGTAAAATCAAACCTTCTGACCCAAGCTACATCCAAGAGGTAAGGCTAGACAAAGCTCAAAATGCATAAAGCTTATGCATTTTGACTTCTTCATGGCCTGTTGACTTTGATACTTCTATTCTCCACTGAATATAGTAAATATTGGTTTTAAATTGGTTCTGTGCTCCTTAGTCCATCAAATCCAGAGTATAAGATTAGCCATATCTTGCTACCTTGTTGTGTTTGTTAGACTGGATACTAGTGAGTGTTTTTAAAATTATTAGGTAATATAATGATGCAAGATGATATTTTAATTTTTTTCCAACATAAATATATAAATCAAATATTAATGAGGAAAACATTTCTACAATGCCATTTGTCCCAAACATTCCAAGATTTTCTTGGAGGAAAATCACATATTAGAAACCCCATTCTAAAGAAGCAGAGGGCACACAAGATGGAAAATCAGGAAATTCAACTGAGTAGGTAGGAAGATGCAGTTCGAAAACCGTTTGAAGTCAGTTATAGATCTGACTGTATCGTACTTGATATGAAACAGTTAAAGTAAAATGAATTGAAACATACCATAAATTTAAATAACTTTCTTTTTTATACCACTGTTAGTTTTATTGAAATTAAGAGATTACCTCTGGTCAAAGACATATTTCACTTTGTGCCATCATTTCTCTAGAAATACTTTCTATCAAATTGCTTCATTATTCTCTCACTGATGTGGGTTTTCATAGCTTCAACTTCTTTCCAGTCTCACTTTGCTAATTGTTTGTAGCTATAAACTGGTTCATATAGCTCCTGCTCACTTTGATCAAACCTAAATCAGAACTATTACTTTTGATTTTCTGTGGCCACATTGAAAGTCAACCTACTGCTGCCACGCTGGAAAGAATTTATAGTAATCCTGCCTCTTCATTTTCATGGATAATATTCTCCTCAACATTCATTACAAGGAGATGAGAAGTGACAAAGATGAGATTTCCAAGATACCAAACCAAGATTAGCAAAATACATGATAGATAAATGCTTTTATAGGAAAGATGTTTTAAGTAATCTCATATCATAATTTACTGCTAAGTAATCTAAAATCAATGAAATGCAACGTAAGCATGGAATGTTTTCTAAATATTACTCTTTAGTAGTAAACTCAAAAATCTTGTTGCTTTTTTGAATCAACAGTTTTTCAAAGTTTTTTCTTTATCCAGTGTTTCCTTACTTTTCAGTGTGGATTTCAAATATCCAAGAAAAAATTCTCTTTCATATTCTACACAATATGGACCATTTAGACCACAGAAATTACATAGTCTATTACTAACAAACTAGATTAGACTCTTCATTGTATACCAAAGCTCCCAGCTAGCATTAATTCATTTATCTGAACAGCATAAAGTTAGACCTGTCCAAATCTTTCATGTTCATCAAAGATGAATTTCAGGATGCATCTAACTTGGAAAAAGACATTAATCTGGGGCTTGATCCACTGTCCTCAGAAGAGAAATATTAAATTATTTACAGTGGTTTTGGGATGAAGCTATTAACTATCTACACCTAAATTTCCCGCACCAATTAAATTATTACATATTGCTGATCAATTGAATTTGTTTTTTTTTCTTCCTCAAGTCAGAAAAAAATAAATCAGAATGACTTGTAAGCTATTATTTTATTTTACATCATTATGACTTCTAAGTAATGGTTAGAATTCAAGGTAAAGCTTGGATTTTTAGAAAGCATTCTCAAATTTTACTTGCAAAGGTGTTTTAAAGATTGAATAATCTGAGCAGTTGACAAATGACTGAATGCTGGAGTTAAAATTATGAATAGTATGCCCAGAATTCTGATAAAGAGGGTTTCATATTCAATAATTCTTTGTCTAAAAAGGACATATAAACATTTATATTCTATTTTTACAAAAGTGGTTGCTTTATTGATACACATTGTTACTCCTTCTTTAATTTACTGGATTACTTACTTCCCTGTAAAAGAGAAGGTAATTATATTTTTGAGAATTATGTGTCTTTGTAAATACTCCCTTGAAGAAAATTTAAGAAAATAAACAATTTTAAAAAAATCCTTTAATAGCTTTCATAAATTTCTTCTCTGATTTTATACAATGTTCAGAGATTGTTGTATAACCTGACGCAGTCTAAAACACTAAGGAAATATTAAGATTATATCATTAAGATCTCTAGCTTTTTCTGTAATGGAGTTATAATTTTCATGTGCTCTAGACATTCTCCTTCACTCCTGTACTCCTCTGCCTGGTTAAAAGTTTCAAATACTTACTGTCTGTTTCTCTCTTTGTAAAAGTCAGCTTAGTATATGACATACATAGTAATAACGTTTACAAGGTATACTGGCATGAACTATACCAGGCAGAAAAGATACAGTTAGCTGTGTAACTTCATTAGAAACAGCAAGTCTAACAAATACCCTATACACCAGTCCAAATAAGCAGAAAGCTTCATTCCCTGAGGGAAAGAAAGTATAATTAATGCAGCACAATGTCCATTCCACACTGATATTCCCAATACTGGAAATCTGCATTTCAGTACTCAATGTGCACACATTGCTTTCTAAGAATAAATATCACCTGAGTCCAAAATTTAATATGTGGTTGAAAGGACATAATTAATGTTTAAAGTGTAATATGTGGTCAAAAAAAGACATAATTAATGTAAATTATAATTATAATTTTAAGTTGCTTCTTTGAAGTTCTATCTTGAAATGGAGGAGATAAGTGACATTAGAGATATGATTAACATTTTAGGAAACAAAGCAAGTTAAACTGTCATTCGTTTAATAAGTATTAAGCCTGAAGCAGGGAATTGGTGAGGAGAAGCATATAAAGAATTTTAGTTCTTTTTTTTTTTTTTGTCCTTATTTACTTTTAGTTACTTTCTAATTCAGAAAGATCAATCTTATATTTTTTTTATTCTAATCAAATTTAGGGGTTCTACTTGAAATGTCTTTTGGACTGTAATTCACTGCAAAAAATACAGACATTCACTTCAAAGCTCTGGTTGACTGGAGATCTTGTCAAAGTAAGAGAGTGAACATTTTTGAAGAAGGAAGGTAGGAGGTAGGGAACTGCTATAAATTCTTCAAAGTGAGAAAGATTACTAGATAGTTGCCACTTAGTTTAATACTGGGTACCCTTGTTTGTTATTCTGATGAAGGCCCTAGGTGACAGTATAGAAGATATATAAGTGGTAGGATTTAGACTGTTGTAAAAAATTCTGTAATGAACTAGAGAATCAGACTCTGTACAAATCAGAAAGACAGAAAACCACACATATTAGTAGATGGTGATGCATGACTCCTCATGTGTACACACACTACACTTAAATTCTAAAATTCAACATACCAATCTCAAGGCAGTCAGTTCTCCACTGTTTGATGTTATATCAGTGTGTAATGTCTTAAATAGAATTCTCCAATTCAGTTATAAGCCATAGTATTGACAAGGAGTTACTAATGAAACTATCTTTTCACCATGATATGAAGAGCAGTCTATATGACTATTAGAGCTTATGAACTTAAAATTTAATATTTACATGGGTTCATGAATAATGGAACCAACTAAAGAACTTGAAAACTATTTTATCCCTCAGAACTTACCCCTGTTAGGTATTACAGGAATCCATGATGAGGCTGTGTAAATTTTCCAACAGGCTGTATTGGAATCCTTGGTTTGCTGACAAATTATGAATTTTATATTATATACATGACACTTTCTTTGGTTGACAGAGCTCTAGCAAGTGCATCTTGAAAGTTTCCATCTAACTTTCACCCGCAAAGCTCAGTTTTGACAGTAGGTACACTGTGCAAACTACTACTCAAGATTTATACAGATGTACTGCCCCAGACACACCCTTATGCCCATCATCATGTAGGAAAGAAATGGTTGGGTCAGTGACTAATTAAATTCTAATCAAATTAATTTGTCCTTAGAACAGACCCGTAGGCACCTACATTTTGCAGAGACTGACTCCTTTCAATAACCTATTTTACATATCTAAATTAGAGCTCTGAGTTTCATTACAGCACTCCTAGCTTCAGAGCAATGTTCCCTGAGAAGTTGCCGAGAGTTCAAAGGTAAGGTTAAAGACATACTGGGTGTTAAATTGATGCTGTAATCTTCAGAGAATTTACCAGCTACTAAATACATGCAATTTTAATCCAAGAAAATAACTTGGTTCTTATGTAGCACATACATATTTATAAGAGGTAACCAAATTAGGATTTTTATAACATATATTAATAATAAACTTCTCGAAGTATTGAAAAATATTCAGGAATCTATATTTACTTTACATTAAAAGTCATCATTATTAGTGGCATTTATATACCTATATGAATATCTTTAGTACCTGTAAGTGATATGCTTGTGTTGCCATTTCTGTCCTGTTAAAGCGTAGCGTTTCCGACGAATGTTAAATTTGGAGTTACCTCTTGTTTGGTCAGGCACACCACATCGAGGCTTCTTCATCCAGCTGCAAGAAACATATGAACATATAAAATCTAAACTAGTATTTTTATTTTAAATTCAAGATAGTGAAACTGCTAACGTTATGACACTATCATGTTATTCTATCTTAATCTCTTTCCACAAAATGAGAAATATCTCATTGCAAGTGTAAGCTGCTATTAATCTCCTAGTAGAGATACTTAACTAAAGAATTCTGCTTAACAATATTTAATTCTCAAAATATTAATTACTATTATTATGAGCATTAATATTTAATACTCAAAATCAAGCTGAAAATGCCTAAATCACAAACAACGAAAATTACCATTACAACAGCACCAGACTTTCCACAGAAGTGTTGTATTTTTACAATGGTCTTCAATATTTTTATGTTTTCCAATATTTCAAAAAATTTAAATTTGCCAAATTCAATTCCAAATTTGACATATTCAAAATATGTCATAATTAAGATGATATCTAATTCAAAAGCTTAAATTGAACAGTAGTATCATTGAACTGTTTCTCACTTGTATTGTTAGGCACCATATAATTTAAACAAAACTCAGCTAAAGTTTTTATTTTATATGAGCTGATATCTGCAGAACGATTTACCATCAGGAAGAGTAAGACTGAATTAATTCACTGCATACAGTGAAGACAAATCTCCTTTGTTACTTTTCCAGTTCATTTGACAATATTTCTGTCATCCAAATCATTACTTATATAAAAGCTAGTTTTCCAATGGCATTTACCAGAAGTGTAATTTACCTGTATATTCAGGCTTGTATGAATAAATTTCTGACCATTAAACCAGCATTGTTTCATAAATAAATGTACACACAGCATCTGTACATATGTATGATTGGATGACAGAAAAGTAATTTGAAATGTCATCTCAGAATGTAGATTCTTTTAAAACATGCACAGGTAATAAAAAAATAAAAAAAAAGAAGACAGTCAACCATTCTTAATCTATTTCAGTAGATACTCTTGGTTCAATACATGCAAAATGAAGAAACCATCTAGTTTTGACCAAAAGAAAAATATCATATTTGCAGTACGAAGGAGATGAGAGAGAGTATAAAACTATACATAATATAATGAATCATAGAATCACAGAATCATAGAATGGTTTCAGTTGGAAGGAACCTTAAAGATTATCTAGTCCAATGCCCCTGCCATGGGGAAGGACACCTTACACTAGACCAGGTTGCTCATCCAACCTGGCCTTGAACACCTCCAGGGATGTGGTATTCACAACTTCTCTAGGTAACCTGTTCCAGTGCCTCACCATGCTCACATTAAAGAACTTTTTCCTTGTGTATAATCTAAATCTACCTTCTTTAAAACCATTTCCCCCCATTCTATCACTACATCCCCTTGTAAAATGAAATCATTGCATTTTAAGTTTTACACCTGGTAATACAAGACAAACCATACTGAATGTATTTTTTAGAGAGGAGCTAATTCAGTCAAAATCAGCCTCATTTTCATAAATGTGTATAAGAGGTTTAAAAGTACACTTCCTATATACTGTAGGTATGGATATATACTAAACTATTTTTCAAATGCACAAGTAGGTGTTAAGCTCCCCAACCTGTGGGAAAGTCGAAAATTTTATTGATTGTACCATGATGGCACTGCTCCCCACTTACTCTGATAAGGACTATAGAAGTGCCTGCAAAAATTCTGATGGGTGACAAATCCATCGAGTAGTGTAAGTGTGGAAACCAGAACTCACGAATTCAACTGCCTAAACTGAAGACAGAGAGTCCATAGTTACCTTTTTCAAATAAGACACTTAGAATAATTTGCTCTAATTGGTGGTCAGAATAGTAATACATGGTACATAAAACAGCTGATTATTATTTATATTTGCGAGGAGGACAATCTTTGTTCCCTAGTTCCTGCAAAGACCATACTGCACAAATCTGTAAAACTTTACCCCATCAGTATTTGCTGAAACACCCTGCGACTTTACTTCAGATTCCTCTAGTTTTTTAAATGAACTTAACAGTTCAATAAAGTAGACATTAAGGATTTTTGGAATTAAATATTATTGAAAAGTTTAATTTGCTCTACTAATGAAAGAAAAATGAAGGAAAGAAGTAGACCTTAGTTACAGACCAAATGGTAGCTATATTCTCCTTAGTAAAATGATATATTTACACTTCAGCAAATGAGATTAAAATTGGCTCAGACCTTCAAAAACATTTACACACTTTGTCAGTAATACTTTTTCACAGTGCATGTTAGATCAGTATGCAGCATTTTAATGGTAGGGTATATATAAATTATGCTGTTGAAACTGCACATACACATGCATTGCAGAAAAAGACATAAATTTAACAAAAGATCAGTGTTCTCACCTTAAGGTGATATCACTACATCAAGAGCAAGAGGCAAGGAATAAAGCAAAATCAAATAACTATTATATTTTATTAGAAACACAGTACAACAATGCTGTATATATAATACATAATATATTGCTTATAGTTGGATCATTTCAAGGGTAATGACTTTAAAGCCCTTTAAAGCCCTTTGAACTAGGTCTCCCCCCAAAAAAAAGTTTACATTATTTAGTTTAACTGATGAAGACCTATTTTAATAACAGAGTTTGGTCATTGGCAAGCTAGGGGCAGATAAGAGTAAATATTCCAAGTTGTGAATTTAAAAATTAATCTTCAAAGCTGTTATTGAAATAATCTCTCAAATTATGTCAAAAGATTCAATAATACAAAAAGTAATGTTAACATAAAATCTTTTAAGCTTAAGAATTGATATCAAAATTCAAGAACAATAGACACCATGGATTCAGAAGTCAACATTGTATTATCTTACTAGAACTACTGACAATTCATTTTTAACAAAACAAAACATAGCCCAAAATAACGCGTTATGAAATTCAAACAGTCACAATTTGTTCTTGCATTGATTTTGAAGTAATATGTACTTATTAAGAACATTATGCTTGTATCTTTATTGGTTTGAACAGGTAGGGGATGTTCTAAGTTGTCATGTTGCCTGGTCCAATAATATTCTTATTGTCTTTATATGAATTATGGGACTGTGGTTCACACAGTACAAATCTGAACATAAATTAAATGGAAATCATTGCACAAGTTGTTCACTATCTTTCAGGAAATTATCTTTATGTAAAATTTAAGGAGAGATGCAATTTGCAGCTGAAGAGTTGGACCATCACCAGATCTATCACCTAGATCTTAGCTGAGTTAAGTTTAGCAGTTAGAATTTTAAACAAACTATGGCATGACTAATATTGGAGTTAAGTATTTTCTACCACAGAAATAAGACAAAATGTTAACAACTTCAGGCACATACATTTTCCTTTTATTTTTTTATTTTTTTCTCACACTCTCTGAGAGGAAGACTTGTCAGTAGTAATCACTAATGCTCATGATATTTAGTATACTTAGCACATAATACGGTCTTCCATACAGGGGGGTTGACAAAAAACCCCATTATTTCTATTTTCTTCCAAATATAGTTTCTTTAACATAATATGATTGAGGTCTTCCATGTTCTTGATTGCTTGTTGGAATTTAATTTTTTTAAATGTTTTTTCAAAATGTTTTTGAAGTGTTTTGAAATGTGTTTGGTTTTAAAAAGGTGCATACAGATAATGACTTTTGCTTGCTTTCATCTGTTTGTTTTTGAACTTGCAGAAAACTTTTATGCAGCAGCCCCTCAAAATTAATATTTTATCAGTACTCAATAAAGAGGCTTAATTGTGACTAATGTTCTCTATCTGTACACTGTGTCACATCAAACTCGTCTCTTAGCTCCATCAGTTTGAATCGTGAGGAGCTATATATGTCAGGACAATTTAAATGTTTTAAACTCACAGAAAATCTAGAAAGATCAAAAGAAAAATATGCAGTGAAACTGGTTGCTCTTTCAGTAGTGAAAGATTAAACTGAACTTCTACCTCATAAACCTTCGGGAAAAAATTTTGGTCAAACACAGAATCAAAAGATTAAAAAGTCTACCTTTGGTTAAATGTCCCACCTCATTTGTCCCTAATCAAAATTGCTCCTTAGTTTACACAATGGTTTTGTTGTTGGTTTTTGGGGGTTATTTTGGGCAGAGTTATAGTAAAAAAAAATGAAAATAAAAGGGAAGTTTTAACTTGAGTTATTGCAACTTAATTTAGTGGCTGGAAAAATGAAAGACAGTTATTTAAGAAAACTACTGAATTATACCTTTAAATTTCTAGTGAGGAGAGACAGGTATGTTTTCTAAACATCTTTACTTTTGCCTACTGTAGCATGCTATTGCAGGACTTTACCGACACTTGCTAATTAATAGAAAACAGTCAAAGACTGATGTAAGATATTGCATTTCAGCCCTGTTACTGATGGTGATTTCTCTTCAGGGCTTCTCATTGCATATTTCTTGATGTATACCTTTGTACAAAAACATTTACTAGGAAAATAAACCACTGGATCAATTTCTACAGCTCAGAATTTACTGTGGGACTGAAAGTTAATATATAAACAGCAGAGAGTGTACATAAACATCTTAAGTGTGAATCTTGAAGTAAACTTGGTTGGAAGCTCTAAGCATTAAAATAAGCATATTTGCCATTCATTTATAAAGGGTGACATTAGAATAAAATGAATTCTTTATTATTGCACAGATTTAGTCAGCATCCTATACACAACCATTCCATCTGTATACCAAGAAGTTTGCAATGTACCTCTTTAAACTGCAAAACAAGTTTTGGAAATAAATGCACGTAGCAGCTTAAAGAAAAGACAAAACCTACTTTTTCTACTTAATATGTTTGGTTTAGGGATGTGGAAGACCAGGATGGCAACAGTGGCTCCAGTTTCAAAAGTGTCCTTTTCCACAAATTATTGATTTTATTTGGTAATATATAAATGAACCACAGAAAATACTGTGTCACTCCATGCAAACATCAGAGAGTATTTTCATTGGGTTTGCCACTGCCATGGTACTTCTGTTCAGAACATCTCCCATATTTTTATGCCAAAATAATGGTATTTCTTTCTATCACTCGCTTTTCCTTATCCCCAGAAATAAGTATGCATCATGCTTTTCAAGACACTTGAGAAAAACATTAAAAATATAACAAAAACAAATGAATGCTGAGTAGTAGAGGAAGGATGATTACTGTCAATATTCATGCATACCAGAATGCTCATTGAGGGATTATCTTTTTTCAGAGCAGCAAAATCCCCCAGGAGACTTTTGACAATGATGATGCTGTAGGACAATATTTCTTTGTTAATATCCCCAAAGTTGGTTCCTATCAAGTTACTACTATAACTTCTTTTAATTGTTTGTCCTTCTGAACACAAGGCACTTCATAATCTCTTCTCAAGATGCGTAAGAGAAGGAGGTAAATCCTCATGCACAAGATGAGAACATATTTTTTTAATGAGGTTCCTGCTGTACTCCTTTTTTTGTAATGACAGCATTGTTAGTGATTATAACATACTAATTCCAGAGAAACAATGGTAAACTGCCACATATTTCTGGTCAAAAGAGTATATATACTTCCTGTGCAGATGAAAGAGAAAATTATTTCAAACATTTATAAATTAATGCCATAAATGAACAGTTGAAAAAATATTTACCCTTTGTTATATAGTTATACCTCCCAAGAATATCCAGTGATGTAAACTACTGGTATCAGTTTAGTTTAAAATGAGGGGTTTTTTTGTTTGTTTGTTTGTTTGTTTTTCTCAACACCAATCTACGTGTGACAAGTCTTTAAAAATCAGTTCTGTTCCTAACTCAACTCAAGTTAATGCAACTCCAAATATGTAAGTGAATGCAGCATTCATCCAGCATGAGTTACATGTATCTAAGAATTGCAACACATTAATATATCTTTCTGTGTAGAAGAAAGTCACACATCAAAAGGTTTGGAAGACTCCATATCCACTAGTTTATAAAATTAATGTTTTCGACTGCTTAATAGATGGATTTCTTCATCACTTATATAGCAAAAGAAGTGAAGAAAACCTTGTTTGCCAAAAAGTGTAATTAGCAAACATAAACCGCTTCCATTTGAAATTCAAGTTTTGGGTTGGTTTGGGTTTTTTTCAATTCTTTAGCTGATGTTCTAAACTAAGAGATGTCCTCTGCTTTTCCTTAGGCTACCACTTCCTGTCTTCTCTGTACTGCTGTGAACAGACTATTTTACTTTTAGTGAAATATATTGTCTCTTACAAAGTTGCTGTTAATGTGTCTTTAAAAGGGTACTAGTGACTGGTATAGCAGCACCCTCCCTCAAAGATCAGTCACTGAAGCTGTACAAAGAGCCCAGTCTCTTCACCCTGCGGATTAGACCATAAACATACTTTTGAGCATGGCTATCTCACAAGGTGTTTCCTGCTATTGCACTGCATGTTCTGAGGCCCTTTAAATTCCTGAACTGAGGGATGTGTGATCAACTCACCTCCCCTTAGGGCAGCCACAAAATCTGCTTTGCCTTATTGCTTTTCAATGCAATAGTGTATGTGTCAGTGGAATAAAATGATTTTTCCAGTCCTGCCAGCATTTTGTGTAGTCTCTTCCCTAAAGTCTAAATGATAGAAAAATCATTAATGTCAGCTACTTTACCATAAAAGAATAACAAAAGATGACATATCAGGTTGGGGGTGGTAAATTGAAATCCAAGGAGGACTTTTTTTTCCCCCAAATAAGCGTTTTAGAGTAGTAGAAACATATTTCAAAGAAGTAAATGTTGGATATGTAATGACAGTACTATTGAGTTATTGCTTGGTTTTCAAGTAAAGTAACTTTTTCTAAAGTCACAAGATAATCTTTATAGCAATTTAACTGAAATGACTGCAACAAGCACTTCAAATCATAGAATCAGAGAATCATAGAATATTTTTGGTTGTAAAAGACCTCTAAGATCATTGATTCCAACCATTAGCAAGGCACTGCCAAATCCGTCATGAAACCATGTCCCTAGGTACCACAACTACACTTTGCTGGGCAGCCTGTTCTAACGTTTAACAATCATTTGGGGGAAGAAATACTCCCTAATATCCAATCTAAACCTCTCCTGATGCAACTTGAGGCCATTTCCTTTTGCGCTGTCACTTGTTACCTGAGAGAAGAGACCGATCCCACCCCACTACAATCTCCCTCCAGGTAGTTGTAGAAAGTCTTAAGGTCTCCCACGAGTCTCTCTTTTTTCAGGTTAAATAACCCCAATTCCCACAGCCACTCCACATAACACTTACGCTTCAGACCCTTCCCCAGCTTTGTTGCCCTTCTCTGGACACACTGCAGCACCTCAATACCTTTATTCCAGTTAAGGGTCCAAGACTGAACACAGGATTCAAGGTGTGGCCTCCAGTGCAAAGTACAGATGATCATTGCTCTGATCCTGCTGTCTTAATCCCAGATACAGTTTTGCATTTTCTTAATTGTGTACTAATGTTCCTTTTTTTTTTTTTTTTTTCAGTTTTCCTGGCACAGTTTTAAAATTTGGCATAGTATAGAGTGTTTGAAATTGTCCTTTAATAGCTCTGTTTCACTCTGTTTCACTAAGTGTCCATTTGGTCACTAAAATCAGACGCTACCAGGCAGACACAACTACAGAATTTAAAAGGGCATGCAAAACTAATTCAATTTTACTCCATGTTAAAATGATCACACCTGATCTTTTGTTACTCGAAATCACTAAACAAATGGACCAGTGGAGTCTGCCAATTTTTTTTTTTAATGAGAATAAAGAAAATTACACTAAAGATTTTCCAGTAAGAAAAGATGACTTCAACTGTGAAACATTTCATGAATTCTTGCCAGTTTCAAATAGGTTTCTCCACTTTCACACAGATAACCTTTTGGCCCTTTCTTTAGGCAATCGGTAACATCTTATTTACAGTTATGTGCCCAAAATCAGACAGCAGTTAGGCAGGTGACTACCTGCTACCATAAAATCCAGAAGATGAAGAAAATAAAAAGGCAAGGACAGAGAGAAACAATTTAACTCCCCATCTGAAGCTGCAACACTTTTTGGATACTCCGGTTACACTGCTACATGTGTTAAAAAGGTTTCCCAATACTTTACCCTTCTTGAAACAGAAAAGTCAAGAGCAGTTCAGTACTGGTTACTTACTCAATTGTGTTCCTGTCCACTTTTCCTGTCATATTAATGCCATAGAACTGCTGCATGGCAGCTATAGCTGATTGCATGGTTTCTGCAGAGCGCAACACCGACATTCGGGGGTCAGTTGGTGGAAGGTAGCCATACTTTTGTAACCATACCTGCAATGACAAGTGCAGTGGCTATTAAATAGAAATTAGAGGTAAATAAAATGCTCCCTAGTAATTAGCTTTATATCATATATAATGAAGCTTTTAATTCACAAAGTACAAGTCCTGTTACTTTGGGTGTTTGGTTTTTGGTTTTGTTTTTTTGTTTTGTTTTGTTTTGTTTTGTTTTGTTTTTTTATTTGCAGATAAGAAATTTTTTGGGCTTTTATTTCATATTCTTTATTAAAGATTCCATTGTTTTAAGTCTTGCAGTGTTTTCTACCCAGGAGCCAGCTCTCTTTATTATCTGAAACTGCCTGCTTCAATTATTTATTTAATGTATTTATTTTTTTTGAAGTTACAACTTAAGCACCTAACCCTGGCTCTAAGCATTTCAAGAAATGTTTTAAGCAGATAAAAATATAAATCTACAATATATGCCACATAAAATTGACTGCCCACAGGGCACATAACAATATTCACCATCTACAATAATAAATCCACAATGGCTCTCACACAGTTACACTATATTGTTATTGTCTCTCAAAGAATACAAAAGAGAGGGTAGGGAGACATTGAGTTTTCTGAGAAGAATATCAAAATCACATAGTTATAGGCAAAGCAGGTGTCCAGGAGATAGTGAAATAGCAGACTCTGCCCCCACTTAGAGAAAACTTCCTGATAAGAGGAACTGCGTTTTTAAACCAAGATGAATTTAATGCCAACTGTTTATGCTCTTAATTGTGTAGAAGTGTGAGGGAGAAAGCAGGGTCCAAATAACTGAAAGCTTTATGGATTAAAGCCACTATCTTAAGAATACTTAGACAAACCCTTCGAAAAATGCTGTCTTCTTGAGCCAATGTTTCATAAACAAGTAGCTGCATCATAATGTTCCTAAGCATTCTCAAAATCTAGCCTTTATAAAGCACAGTGTAAGATTTTTGAGGCAATGAGAACACTGATATATCCTTAAAAATGTCTTATCTTCTCATCTAAGGGCTGGAACTACTCACTAGAATGAAAGGTACATATATTGCCAATCTACAAGGCTCCATTAAAATGTATTGCTTCAATTTCACTCTCTCTAGGAACAAACTACTTGTGACCTCATAAATCTGATCTGTTCTTTTAAAATAAAATCAAAAAAAAAAAAAAGAAAAAAGAAAAATTGATTCAGCCACCTCTTTCAAACATATCACATCATAGTTCACAGATTCTGAATACTTACATTAATGAATGCTATCCACCCCCTATACCCTTACAGTGTGTTGTAGGCTCTCTGTGACTCATACAACACTTTGGAGGTTTTTATCTGTTTGTATATACACTGTTCATACACAGCCTAACACCAAACTGTGTAGCTATTTTCAGCTTTAAGTTTATCTTGCAAAGTCTATCCAATTCAGTTCTGTAGCAGGTTAACCATGGTGGTGGTACACTCCCCTTTTACAAACACAGTGAAGATGATCAAGATTATTAAGGTTCACTTTACTAACACTGAATGTATATTATAGGTGAACATTGGCTCAGTGTAAACAAAAGATCAAACTGGCATTAGAGATTGGGGAAACCATCAGGTTATGAGTTCAGATATTTCTAATTTAAACAGGTTTACCTTCCCATAGTGTGGTTGACACACAACCTCAACAATGTTTGTGAGCTCCACACAACAGGGAGATACACCAGGACAGGGAGACAGAGACAGGATTAAGACCTAGCCTAAACTCTTTCACCTTCACACTAACTCTATATACAGGAATGATTCAGAATAAGAACAAAATTGTGTTTAATAGATAGGAAAATGCTCTTCTTTCCAATATAAATTAATTGCTACGATCACTACCTACGTCCAACTTATATATTCCTACCTTCTTGCACTTTTCAGCTTCAAGGGAGAACTAGTGTATGCTATGTGCAAGATTTGGGTCACCACAGAAATAGTTTCATTTATGTGTCACTTTGCACAGGAAGTTTGTTCTTTCTTCTGTTATTAGAAGATAGATCTGAAACGCCAGATAGAGCTTGAACGTGGGCAAGAGCAATGCAGTATGTGGAAGCAGAATCATGGAAGTAAGAAATAAATAAGTTTGACAGAGTGGGTTGATTTCAGTGTACTGTGTAAAGTCCCTTTGAATTAATATTTACTATGAGTGTATTTAAGAATGAGGTTATTTTTATATTCATCTTCTCAAGTCAGTGATATTAAAACAAATGATCAGACAGGGAAGAAAAAAAATTCTGAATATCATGTCACTATTATCTAAAATTATGCTACCTTCTTGTCATTGCCTCAAAAAGAATTTGGTATGCAGACACAGAACAGGGCTTTTTATGAATCTCTCAGGTGTTAAGGGCAGACAAAATTGCTTGGTAGGCTTGTGAGGTCACCCACCACCACTCAAAACCATTCTCACTATGGCATAACTGAAGGCATCAGAGGTATGGGATTACAAGTAAGCAAATTTGCCAGAAGCTAAACCTTCAGATATGAATTAGAAAAGCTATAAAGAGAGAGACAGAAAAAATATCTCGGGGAGTACTGCTCATTGGAGAAGTGGAGCAGGGAGAACAAACTGGAATCTAGCAGAGTGCCACTGCAGAGACACTCTGCAGAAAAGGAAAAGAGAGTTGGCTCAGAAACAGCAGGAGAGGACAGTATAGCCTTTCTCTGTCTAAAAGGACTTACATACAAGTTAAATACAGGATGCCCGATAGCCACCCCCCATCATTGAACAAAAGAAGTAGACCACCTAGGTCTTCCCTCAGCCTTCAAAATAGCAACTAGAAGATACAGCCAACATACTGGAAAGTCAGATGACACTCTCAAAGCAAGTTTCTTTTTTCTAAAATTCAGACAAATTGACCTCTGGACTGGTGAATGTTTGAGAGCTAGTAGCATTTAGTATTACAAAATTCTCTGCTTTGTCTTTATGAGAAAGGATCATGAAACAAGATAAAAGATGGCAAATCCTGTTTTGCAGTTTTCTATTAACATATTTTGAAGGACCTTGACTCAGACTGCCAGATATCCGAAACATGCAACTCAGATTCTATTGTGCATAGTTGAAATGCTGGGAACTACAGAGGAGAAGCTTAACTTTTAAGTCCAAAATATATAGGTGAGTAAAACAACAATGAGAAGAAGAAACAGAATGAGGCAGACACAGCACAAGAATGAAAGAAAAGACCTTCCTTGCCACATTGTATTTTTGAGGTAAATTATTAAAGAAATTATGTTCACAAGAATTTCCCCCTCCCCTCTACTGAAATTAGACATGTGTGTGCCTTAATGTACTTCAGCAATGAAAACGTCATCTTGGCAAGCCTCATTCTGAGGAAACCATCAATCTTGGAACAAAGAAATAGTGAAGCAGATCCATCTAATATGTCGTATCTGGAGTGTCAACAGAGACCCTTTGCACAGACTCCAAAAATCAGTGATTTGTTTAATTCTTTTATACAATTTAAGAAGATAAAATACTGCTACTTCAAGTGAAGGTTTTGGGCAGGACTTTCTTGTCCTGCAGCAAAATGGAAACCATGGTACCTCTCACATAATCACAGAAAAACAGCTGGAAGACAACAGGTCCCACAACATCCCTCTCTATTAGACTGCTTTAATATGCTACTGCTATAAAGTTTGCTTTAGAGTTGAATCTCTCTTACTAAAATTTAAGACTGTAACTTTTCATTTTACCTGCTATGGGTAAGGGGAACCAATTATTCCTTTCTCTTCTGCAGCATCCTTTTATGTACTTGAACTTCCTGATGTCACTCTTTCTAATATTTGTAAATAAAGAAACTCCTTTTGTTTAATCATATTTCATTATCCACATTAACCTCCTGAAAACTTGAAGCTAAAAGCTTTCTTTACTACAGTCTTTCTTTACTAAACATCTGCTTGCACTAGATTTCTATGCCAATTCCCATTGTTGGCCAACTAACAAACACCGGAGTTTAGATGAAGTGTTGGGAGTAATTCAGAAGAACATGGACACTCAAACATTTCATTTTGGAAAGAAAAACAAAAGCAAAAAAACCAACCAAACAAAAAAACAAAAAAAAAAAAGAAAAAAAAACAGAAAAAAACCAGAAATAAAATTAGCCTAAAAATATTTTTACCCATTAATTGAACTTCAAGGCTTATGTCCCATTTATCTATACATTTTAAAATTTTAAAACCATAATTCCTCACCTCTTGTTTTCCTAATTGTAAAGAAAATGATAAACAGAATCCCATGGTGATGAAATCTGTAGAGATGCTAGGAGTTTGTTGAGGACCTGCCACTTCTGCAGGAGTCCAAGGAATCTGTAAGGGCTCAGCACATGAGCTGTATCATCTTCCAGATTTTGGATGTCATTGACTAGATATGTAGCGTTTGGGGTTTTTTCTGCCATGACGAAAGGATCTTTTCATTTTAGCTTTTAACTGCTGCTTATGCAATGCTGTATAGATCATCTGGCTATGGAATAGATAGCAGTTTGTCACATGACTGTATTTTTTTCTCGTCTAAAGGTTAAAGAATGGTCTAACTTAAAGTGTACTAAACACACTGATGGATTTTAATCATTCCGGTCTTTGCTAGTTTAAGAAGAATGAGTGGTCTTAAAAACAGTATGTTGACACCATACTGTTACTAGAACAAAGAAAACACATATATTTTCATTAAATATTAAACAAGAATATTATTAAGATAATCAGAGTTTCAGAGAGATTACTGATTTCTAAGATAGAAGAAAACTTAGCAACAAACTATTAATGTTCCTGAATGACAGTACATAGTGTAAGCTACAGTACAATTATGTTCTATGAACATAAAGGCTTACTAAATCAGTCTAATGAAGCATGCATGGATTAAAACAATTTCATAAACACCTTCAGTAGTGCAGCTGCATATCATTATTCATGTATCCCTGCTCTTTTTTTTTATATTTTATCTGCAAACAAAATTCCTATCTGCACTGAGTGAAACTGTGAGATTTCATAATTTCAAAATATTTTGACTTCTGTT